TAATGATTCTGTGATTCTATGATTCTATTGTTAGTAACGAAATGTAACACACAGAACCCTGATGCTTATAGAGCACACTGCAATTTTTGTTTCAACTGCTCTGTTTTACCTGCCCAATTTATTAACTGCACATACCAAAATTTTAAGTAGGTAGAAGCGTGAATCTGTTGACAGTAAACAATGCCGCAGTAGACTCTACAAGTCTCATCCGTTAGCTGTTCCCAGTAGGAAAAACATGGGTTGTCTTCTTTGTCTCTCTCTTTGGAACTGATGTGGTTGATACTCTTCCAGAGGAAAAACAAGAATTGAATGAGAAAGATAAAGCAGTATTCATTAACGGTTTTTAACTTGTGCCACCACTGAAAGGCATTAGGTTTTTCACGCAGAATCATTTTAATTGTTTACAGAAAGAATAAATGGCCTAGCTGACATCAGAAAACAGGAGCCTAAGGCAGAAGAAGAGAAGCTTTCTAGTGAACTGAAAAACCCACAGGATTCACTCGAGGCTGCTGCAGGTCATAAGGAGATGCTGCCCGAGTCAGAGAAGGAGCTGAATCCACCTGAAGATGAAAAACGTGTAGTAGGGCAAGATGCATTACAGCCGGCAGCAGAGCACGCTGCCAGTGAAGAAATTGAGAGGGAGCAGCTCCTGAATTACGATACTAAGCAGGATGACTTGCCCCCTGGGAAGGCTGGTTGGTAGCATGTCATGTATTGTTAAGAACAGTAAAGAAATGAAAGTGTGGAATAGGGCATGATTTCTGCAACAACGGTGGCAGCTGGCCAGACTTAGTGTAAGGTTTCATAAAGGTTAGTGTGAGATGTAAAAGGTTAGTCAGTCCCCAACAGGCTTCTACAGTCAGTGGGTAAAGATGGAGGCTTCTGTTTGCGCAACATGGAGCTACCAGGCCGGGTTCTTCTGCATCACCATAGCAGCCTTCCTGTCTGTCTCTCCATTGGCTGCACAAGCCCCGAAACTTTCTGGTATTGAGGCTTTATAGGAATATGATGCATTTGAAAATGATGAGACGTTAACTATCCAAAGCATTGATGAGTAGAGAGATACTAGGTATTGACGTTTTGCAGATAGTCTTTTTATAGTGTCTGTGTAAATGCTAGCTATCCCTATTTCAAAATAAGCTAGCATGAATAAAACTTGACATAAGACTTCAGGTATCTGAAGTTTATTACTCTGACTCTGCAAAACTGCAGATCAGATGTTGCAAAGGTGCAGTTTGTGGCATCTACCACACGTGACCCTGAACCACGTGTCTCCACAGCTCCCAGCAGTAGAGTATTGATGTCATGCCTAAACCTGACCAGAAGCTAGACGTCCCTCTGTCTGTCTTGAGGAACTCAGTCTCAGGTGGACCCAGTAGCCCAGACAGAGTAATGAGGAAGCCTTATGGCAGTCAGAGCAGGAATTGGTGCCCACAAAAAAATGCTGTTTACGCTTTTCTAGTAAACGCATTCATAGAATCATGAGTAATGATGTTAACACTGTTGATAACTTGGCAGGGTTAAATAATCTCATCTGCATTGCTAAAGTAGTATTTTTCCAACGGCTCCAAAAAGATGCTGGCCAGAGCAGGCTGTCTCCCAGAGAGATGTGAATACGTAAGTTACCTAAACTGCTTCCATTTTAATGGAAGTAAATAGCAGAAAGATTAGGTAAAAAAATCATCCAACAATTAGTGCAAGAAAAAACTCTGCCATGTAGCCTGTGAAAGGTCAGAGTTTCTGTGAGCTAGAAAGAGTAGCAGGATGTTCTTCAGGCTTGATTGTTCAACAAAAATACCATACCTTACTGCATAGGTTCCTTGTAGCCACAGGAACCTAAAGTAGGAAAAGATTTCTTCTATGTTCTCTGAGCATCCTCTCTCATTTCAATAAAAGCTTCTTTTAGAAGTTTGAGACCTCTAGGTCTATAATTGTAAAAATGTATTTGATGTGGTGGTCTGAACATGGACAACATAAGGCTAAAAATTTTCAAGTCTGTTTCTAAGCCAGTTACTAGTTAGAGGGCTTGGCTTGAGAACGTTCCGAACCAGAGACTCCGACCTCTCTTAACTGGGGTATGCTTATACCTCTATGCCGTTATGTTTTTCTTCTGGCTGGTTAACTGAAAAATAAGGGTGGTAGTTTGGCAATCAGAAATAATGTTTCCTTTACTTCTGAGCTCTTTATATAAAGAAATCTTAAGATAGTCAATAAAAGTTGCTTGAGATGAATTAATGACTGGGTGAAGAAAATCTCTTATAGAAAAGCACTTTTGTGTCAAGTTAGCATGTCATAAAATACTTTTTTTTTTTTTTTTTTTTTAAATGCTCTATTCACTGCTTTCTGCTTGGTGGACAAACTAAAACCAGAAGGGGGGAAGCTGAGATACGTTTTAGTGGTGGTGGTGATACATGGAAGAGCAACACCACGGTCAACTTTTTTTTCAGCATTGGCTCAGGTTTTACTCTTCCTTAGGCTGTCCTTTAATGTATTCTGAAATTGTTTAATGCGTTTCCTTTCTGTCCATCTGAGTGCTGACTTTTATTACTCTTTCCAAATCCCCAAAGATCCTGTCTTTTATCTAGTTCTTTAGACAATATTTACAGCAAAAGCTGTGTTGGTAATACAAAATCCTACTCTGAACAGCAATTCGTTCAGCAGCAAGTAAATTCTGTGGAAGATTTTTACAGTAACTGTTTCTTGACAGATGACCTTATGGTATAGCATAAAACTAATTAATTTTAACATTTTTCCAGACAAACAGGAACATGAAGCACTGAACCAGGACAAGGATGTTGATTACAATTTAGATGAGAATGAAGCTGAATCAGAAACGGACAAGCAAGCAGCACTTGCAGGGATTGAAAATGGTAAAAAAGAAAAAAAAAGTTTTAAGCTAAGTACCACATGCTGAAAACTTTAAGATGATATTTTGAATGGTATCCTGTAGCAGATAGAGCTAGCTAATTTGTCTTTGAGCTTTCCCTCATGTTGACAGTCTGACCTACTTTCTGTGTAGCTATCACTGATGCTACTGTTTAAGATGTGGTGGGGAGGGACAGTATCTATAGCTTTGCTATGCTATACAGTACTTTCAGAATTTCTCCTGCTGTGTTGTAGATTGTTTTCTAGATGAAGAACTATCACTTCTACCTCTTACGAGATTTCTGTACTTTTTTCTTTTTTCGTAATTAGTTCAAAATCCTGAAGATATGAAGAACCACTTATCTGAGCAAGGTGAAGAACGACAGAGGTTGTGAACAAAGGAGGTTCATGATGCAACTTAATCACCTCTTCATATAAATGCAGCAATGATGAGCGCAAAGTGATCTGAGAATGTTTTGATTATCTCCTCAAGGCTTCAATAAGGGCCCAAATGAAGTAGTATTTTCTTGTGAAGTTTTAGTACTGTTTCAGTGGTGAAAAAAAAATCTTAGATCTCTGCAATGACTCTTTCCTTCCTACCGATTATAAAACTGAAACCAGCTAGTAATAAGTGTAGTAACTACAATAACAATATGTGTGGATTGGTGGTAGATGAGACAGTCTTCTGCCAAGGATGGATCTCTCCCCTGAGCGATGCAGTAGAGAAATCCCCAGCCTAGTTTCAAGAGGAGCTAACTTACCTTGACGAAACATGGGAAGGATGAAAAATGGCCCACGCTGCAGTCTACCCTTGTGCCTGTTCTGGCACCTTTTCACTCCAATGTAGATAGAGTCAAAAAGCATGACTGTAGTCCTCAGATATTATGCAGTATGATATATTTTCCAGGGCTTCCTAAATGAAATTGCTAGCTTACACTACCTGTAGCCAGGCTGAAACACTGTGCTGGTTGTGTTCTTGGCTTTTAAGTTAAAAAAAAAAAATTCTGACAATAGTGTCTTCTCATTAAGAGATTAGCAGGAAGATTTTTCTGAAAGCTTTGCTGGACTCCTGTTCACAAGATCGGTACTATGGTATGGTTCAGTTACCACTAACTTGCACAAGATGAGAGTGTAAAAATCCAAACTCCTGAACTTTTCATGACAAAAGCTATCTGAAATGGCGTGCTACGACCACCCTTTACTCCATGCAGCCGCTATCTTCTGCTGAAAAGTAGAAAGGCAAATGCTTGCCTTGTAGAACAGCAATCTCAGCTGTTCCAAGTGACTAATCTTCTCTGCCAGACTTCTGAAGAAGGTAAGCCAGACTATATGCATTTACCGGACATTGTTTCCCACATGTGAAGCTGTAGTTGTTGTGAAGTCCTATGTTATGCACAACATATCGTGTTGCTAATGTTCTGTAGTCTTTGTCTTTTCTGTAACTAGTTGAATGTAAACTAGAAACTAGTTTACTTGCAATAACCTAAAATACCCTCTACTACCACTAAGGCACCCTTAACTGCAATCCAACCTACATTGCGTGTGGCCAGCTGTTTTGGAGATTATATTTGTGTCTGTTCTCAGGACTGACACCTGTCTTTGGAGCACTCTTTGTGAGTATGAACCAACCTCCCTTGAGACACCATGGGAGCAGACAGACATGAGTAACTTTCCAACCAGCAATTCCATTTAAGAAAATACGAATTTGTCTTGGCTTTCTCTTAATACACTTCATTTTGTAACTGCTTTTGTGGTGTGTCATTCCTCAGTGTACTAGTTTACAACTCCTGTACTTCAAGATGCCTAAATATACAAGTGGAAGGTTGGTTCTTTTGTGTATGAAAGGATTACTAGTTGTTATCAAGTGAAAGGCAGAGCTCAAGTCAAATGGTGCCTATTAAGCCTCAATATGTTAACAGTTCACTGATAGACTTGTCACGTGTAACTTGAATTCTTCTAAGAAAAGCACTAACTTCCATTACTGAGTTCTTGGTTACTCCAGTTTTTTCACCATTTAAGTTGGACTTAACTGGTTGGACTACTACAGTCAATACAGCCAGGAAAACAAATGCTTCTAAGCAGGAGAGAAAAGGAGGTATGAGCATCTCTTCTAAGTGACAAGTATTGGGAAACTTGGGCTATGAAGTTATTTTTTTGCAAATAATGGCATGTTTTAACATCAAAATGTTTACACATATTCTGAGTAAAGGGGACATTTTCTAAGGACTTACTCTGTAAACAATTACATAGCTGAGATGAAGTTAATCAGGAATGTAATTGTGATTGTTAGAGTATATTCTAACAGCATAAAATGTGCAGTGAAATTCTGTATTCAAGCTGAATGAATGGTTTTAACTTGAGACTGGTAAAATCCCAAACAAACAAACAAAATCCCTAAGGTAATTAATATATTGCCAGAGAATTATTTTAAAACAAATTGTTTTGGCTGTATTTCTATACAGTACCCAAGCCTGACTGGGCTTCTTGCTAGCCAGCTAGACGTTGTTCTCTTCATAAACAAGACCACCTGTGTACAAAGCACACTTGTAACACCTCAGACAGTCAGGGGTCTGAAAACCTGCCTAAGAGCAATGTTCAAAAGCATAAAGGAATAGAGTCTCATTCTCAGTGGCTTCAAGTGCCACAGGAATGTAGCTAGGGGGGTGGATTTCTAGTAGACAAGGAGCCTGTATGTCTACTATACACAATTCTAAAATTAAAAGACTTTCAGTTGAACAAAACGAGATTCATTTGGAACTGTGGTTTATGTAGTGTTGTCTATCACTAGAATTTTTAGTTGCATGAGGCAGGGAAAGCTGCTTTGCTGTAATCATCTTGGGGTTAAATCAACACTTGTCCTTGATGTTTTTTTAAAAACTAAGCCTGATCCATTTCAGATAAGCATTTTAAAATAAAAATAATCTTTTCTACTGTGTATTCACCTTATTCTGTACAGTTCATCCTTGTCTACTGTTAATGAAAATGGGAAAGATGATCATTCCTGTTCTCTTAGTTCTATAAATGATGTGGAAGTTGGTTTCTCTTTTACTTGCTGCTTCCTTTGGAGAAATACCAAAGGCTGTCCTTGAGCTGCTGTGATGTAGTTTAAAATTTTTAAGATGGGAAGGATTTTTGTGACTGTTTACAAGGTGGCAGCAAAAGCCAGATGAATTGTCAGCGCCCTGCACTAGAACCAGTTTGCCATCTTTACAACTACATTTTCCAGCATTTTCATTCCTTTGGCAACGATCCAGAAGCATTGAAGTATATTAATCATGACGATAAGGAAACATGTAAAATGGTATGCAGCCTCCTTAAGCAGAGAAATCAGGAAAAAGCATGTCTTCAGGGGCAGTACTCCTGCTTATTTCAATAAGGTGCAAATTGCTGGCAGACAAGTGGGTTTTCCACTTCAGTTTTTTCATTGTTTTCCAGCTCTAGCTCAGCAGCGCTGCTGCTTAGGTAATGGAGTTAAAGGGATATTACTCCACAGTACAACTGTATGTTAGGAAAAACACAAACAAATGTCGTGCATGGTCAAGAGGGAGTTACAAGCTCATCACTATGGAGGAAGCCATTTTGCACCAAAATGAAGAATTGTCCTGTCCAACATTGTCAAACCTGGAGGATTTGCCTTTATGGCCCAGGTAAGACTTGGCAGTACGGTTTATCAAAGAGCAAGTCAGCTTTTTTAACTTCTTTTCTCCCTCTTGTAGCAGAAGGCTGCTCAGCATAACAGTTTATCTCTATTCTTTCACATCTGGAAGCACAAGAGAAAGGACTGTTCTCGGAACAAAAGGGTAGGTTTGGGGCTCCTCCCGTTTGGGATTTCTACCTATATCAACCATTACAGAAGGCAGTAAGATCCAGCAGCAGCATTGCAGTCAAAACAAGAGAATGAAGGTCATGCAAGAGCCGACTTGGAATGCAATGCAACAAACTGGCAATCCCTCCTTTGCAATGGCAAAGTAACAACAGGATGGAAATAAAGTTCCAGAGTAATTAAAATACATTCCTCATGTCTTGTGTTCCTGTGTGACTATTCAGTGTCTGCTACGCAGATTCTCCAGTACCACTAAGAATAAAGACAACGGAACAAACTGCAACTACAAATAACTTACTCCATTTCTCACTATCTTCAAGGACTTCTCCTACATTTGAGATAAAACACCTCCTAGACAATTGACTTCAGTAAAACAAAATTCACCGAATTCAGCGCAGTAGGAGCTAAATGACTAGTTTTCATCTGCTCTTAATTTCTATAAATGTTGTTTTAGCTTGCAGGACTTGGTAAGAACAGAACCCAGTCTTTCTACGTGCAAAGTCAGCAATTTTGATGCAATTTAGGCAAAAATACGGAAACTCGCAGAATTTCAGTAGCTCAGCTGGCCTATCAGACACGAGGCTCTACTGCATTATTTTTATTCGGTCCCAAACGTTATTAAATCCCTAAACCACCATTTTCTGTCAGAGCTCATTCATAAAAATGATTTATGATTAAATCTGTAATAAAGTCAATTAGGATACAACATTCGTCAACAATACAGTTGATTAAAATCAGCTTCACCCGTAAAACTTTATACAAACCACTTCTTTAACACAGCAGTTGTCATTCAGATCACGTAAAGAAGGCAGACTACAGATATTCCACGTAACAGTTCTTTTATCCTGGGGATCCCTCTCAGTCTGGGTACAGCACTAGATATTCCATCCTACAGCTGGTATCTGATACACAGATTATGCTTCATGTACCCTAACAATAATCTCGTCTTTCAAACAAGCTTCACAACCGGAAAATATTTATGAGGGGAGAAGTCAAATTCTGGAGGAACCTAGAAAGAAAAGATTTAAAACATTACACAGCAGTACTACTGAGTTTAATACTCAAAATGAGGGATACCCTGCAGATAAAAGAAACACTTTTAAATGGCAAAAGATGGAAAAAAAATAATCCTAGCTCTTTAATATCTGAATCAAATATTCCAGTTCTGGATATGCCAATCATTCTCCAGTAGTGATGAGCACAAAGCTGTAGAGTGCTGGTGCGCCTCTTCAGTGTGCTCCTTCACTCTTCTGTGCCTAGCCTTCAGCAGAAGTCTGAAGGCCCTCTCCTCCCTCTGACCCACGTGGCACCCGCTAATCCTGAGAGCCAGCGCTCTCCCAATTGTGTTCACACGAGCTGCTGATACACTGCTACCACTTACTCCTTCCTGCTCTTGACGAATACCCATATTTGTACATGTTATCCCACATGCACTTCCGAGTTTTTTTTCCCAAACATTTAGAAACAAGAGTTTTCCATATTTAAGTAACTACAAAAAACTATTTCCAAGGGAAAAATGGATTAAATTACTTTCCCAGTTCTTTTAAGAGTTAGAGTAGCTAGGGCCTGAATCTGCTTGTTCGGCTGTAAGAGATCTGTGGTAGCACTGCCTATAATGCTACTACATTTCACATTCAATTCAGCTGGCATTTCCTTACCTTAGAGTCTTTTTTGTGGCCTCCTGCCAGCAGCTTCATGACAACAATATTGGGTTTAGCAACTTTTAGAATTCGATTGACCTAAACACAAAACAGCAAGAAGTTTTCAACTGAAAGCATATGACCTCAAAATTATTTCAAAGATAATACTCCAATGTTTACATGCTCTACAATACAGAGGTCCTCTTACAGCATCAGTTTTACAGAGATCAGTGCGTTTGGATTTGCTTTTAAGTATAACAGCTGGATTAATTAAATTTAATGAAGTATTTTAAGAGTCACTTTTTTTATTCAATAGACCATAGAAACCACTGCTGTCCATTCTTATGTTAAAAAATGGTTAACCTATGGCAAGTTCTGAGGCACTCATCCAAATAAAGGTTTAGACAGGCTCTAGGCATCTACCCCCAACCGTGTGATCCAAACACAATGAGAAGCAGCAACTCAAGTATCAAACTGGTGGCTTTTTGCATGGAAGTGCTCTGGGCACACTCAAACCACCTCTAGCTACCCTCTTAGCCTCAATCAGATAGCTCATGCGTGAGTACCACTAGGATCCAGACAACAGGCAGGGCTCTTAAATTATCAGGAGAACCTAATCCCATAACTGTTCTTAACCTGCTCAGATGTGACAGAATAAGCGTCCTCCTTGCTCCAAACACTTAGATTTTAGGCTATGGACAAAGAGGGAGAAATTCCTACCTGTGTTTACAACCCAGTGCTGAGAAAACTGCTCCAGGAAACAAGTGCCAAACTCAATCCTCTTTTCAGCCTGATGACGTTCAAACCTATTTTTCCCACCTCTCAGGAGGACGTGTGAATTACCAGGTTCCAGGTGAGTGAGGCAGGCATATGTCACCTTCTTGTTAAAACTGATACGCTTTTAGAACAGGACCAGAAGGCAACATGCAAGAAGGAACTAAGTTGCTATCTAGCATCCAAAATACTCAGCAGTGACAGGTTTTGGAACAGTGAGCACAACCCTGATTACGTTATCTAATGTATTAAAACAAATCACTATGTAAAATGCCACCACCTTCCTCTGTCTGCTCCTTAATCAAAGCACTCAGCTTTGCTCAGCATTTTAACAAAGTACACTTTGGATCTCAAGCAGATCCAGCTGAAAACAAACACTTACTCTATTAGGAGCAAATACTCCTTTTTCCAGTATTTCAGTCTTACCTCATAGTCTGGATTAGGAATATTCTCAAGAATCATTTTAGCTTGCTGGAAGTGTTTGCTAGCTGCCATGTAGAGATCTGATGACTGAGGAGGTGGGCTGTACTTATTTAAATCAGACATTTCCTAGAGTGTTACAGAAATATATAAATATATATTAAAATCAGTTGCCAACAAATTGTATTTTTACCACCTTAAATGCAAACAAATTACTATATTCAAGGAAAAAAGTTATGTCAACTAAATAGTATTTTAAGAATAAATACTGAAGTTGAAAACTTTTATTTAAAATGGCAAATACCAAGCAGCAATATGCTGCTTAATGATTATTTCATAGTTCCACAAAATGCAATGAACTTCTCGTACTCTTTATAAAACAATCCCTCTCCTGAACAACTTGTCATTCATTTGCTTTAATAGTGCCATGCAGCAGAGTGTGAAGTAACAGGAAAAACAGGAGAAAAAAAAGTATATGATACTGTTCACTCAAATCAAGTTACAGCAAGTGAGATACTGAAACTATAAATATTTCATTTTATATAATCCAACTTTTTTTTTTCCCCGGATTAGTGATAAAAAAACTTCAGTGACAAGGAGGAAGCCACGAGTCTTAATTTCCGCTACAACTGTTCGTAACACTACATTAGGGAGAGTGACTGGCATACAAAATAGTACAGTTTCAGTTCAGACGGACCTTTAGAAACTTAAAGTCTGGCCACCAGAAATCTAAGTTCAACAAATGTTCAAATTTCTGCACCTGAGGCAGAATAACCCCACGAATCAGTAGAGGCTAATAACCAGCTGGATGAGTAGCGGGGTTACTGTGAATACCAAGTTGAATACAAGCCAACAAGGTGCTCTTATTACAAATCAGACAAGCATCATATGGGACTATACAAGCAGGAGTATGGCCAGCAGATCAAGGAAGGTTATCACCCTGTACTCAGTATTTGTGCTGTAACATCTGACATACTGATCCAGTGTCGGACGCACTCAGTTCAAGAAGGATGCCGAGATGGGGGGATTGCTGGGGGCCTAGAGCACGTGACCCACAAGGAGAGGTCAATAATCCTGGACTTTCTCAGTTAGACAAGGGGGATGCTAATGGGTAATCGTAATAGCAGCCTACAGCTACTTGAAAGGCAGTTACAAAATTGTCAGAAGACAAAGGCTCCTTCCTAATGGCAGACAATATAACCTGGGGGGAAAGGCCACAAATTCTGGCTTGGGTAATTCAGACCAGACATTAGGAAAAAAGGTGAACCCTCAATCATATCCAAAGACTAAACGGACCAGAAAAAGTAACTGGATCAGGTTAACCGAAGAGGTTGGAAAATCTCCATCCTTTGACATTTTTCAGACTTTGCTAGATAAAGACGCAGCTGATGTGATCTATAACACTACTTCAGGGAGGAGACGGGACAAGACAAGACCTCCACTGGTCCCTTCCAACCAACACTTCTGTGATTTAACACTCAAAATTACTTTTGTTTTGTTTTCCTCTTTGCTTCCTGCAGTAATAAAACCATCCTGCTATATAAACCACACCCAAAAAGTCTGTCAATAGACTTTCAAGAGATTCTGTTTTCATGCAAACCAACACAAGCATTTCATAAACAGCCACATCAGACCAAATTTTAAACATGTAAGAGTCTAATTTTAGTAAGAATTCAAAGCAATATATTTTCCTTGCACACAACTAAAGCTAGAACTCCTTGCCATTTTGACTTACGCTTCAATATGAACTTTGAGATATTAAAGGCTCTTTTTACAATGACAACACTGTCTAAAGCAGGTCAGCAAATGACTTTTATAAAAGTATGAGTGGCACCATGTTTTAAGATTACTCACTTTAAACTGCAAGTAGTGCACTGGGGGTGGTGTGATGACGCTGTTGAATGGAGCAAACCTGTGCTCATATCGAACTTGTTCACTATCCAGTTCAAACTTAGGTTTTCTTACTTTCCCATCCATGTCAAATGCGATCATTGTCTAAAAATGAAAGGATAAATATAGTGAAAAGTGTTAGCTTTTTGTCATATTTTGTGAGCAAGATGAAAGTTATGATTTAGCTATAACAGGAAGGACACAAAAATAGTAGAGAATTTACCATATCACATTATAAACCTGAACTTAATTTCCAGTCCCACTAAAAACAAAGAAGGCATGCAATGGATGCTTGATTCCTATTACAAAAAAATTGAAGCCCTTATTCAGCAAGCACAAATAAATTACCTTGTACATCCCAGCACACATATTTTGGTATGCTTGACTCATCGTGATCTCTCTGCTGAGAGGGCGAACTGCAAGTTTCACATAAAAATATTTTTTTTATTCAATGTAAGTGCACATATTAATTTCAGATCAAAACAGTTCTTTCAAATTTTCAGAAAGTGACATAATTCTCAGCTATATTTTAAAATAATGAAAGAAAACTGAAGCATAAAAAGCATGGACATGCATTTCTGCTTACCTGGCTCCTGATTACACAAAATATCTCAAAATAGACACATGAACACCATACTGCCTTCAATGAAATAAACTGGTCCAGACAGTCAATGGTATTAGCGTGTCACTATACAACACTAAACAATAGTCTAGAATTTAAAGCTTGTAGTTGAGAGGCCTGTTTGCTTACTTGATGGATTTTTTTTTAACTTTAAAAGGTTAAAGTTTTTTGTCCTAATAAGAAAGATTTTTATCCTGATAATATTCCTTTAAGCTCCCCTTTAGCTTCTAGTGTTTAACTACTGCCAAATTGCCCCACACTTGGCACCTTCTTAAAAAGTATAAAATACAGTAGTAATTTTCTGAATTTCTAGGAACAATGACCTTGAGCTGTTTATATATAATTGTTTGTTCCCCCTGAAAAGATGACAAGCATAAACACACAAAAAAGAAGGAATAGCAAAGAACGAAAGCGAGCTTCTGCATGGTGTTTATTTGCAATGTTAATACTAAGATAACTCCAATATACCACAATCTAAGTAGCTACTTAAGGATGGCAAATCTGTATCAAATGCTATTTAGACACTGGTTTTGGATGCCTTTTTGGTAGCAGGCTTACAGCTTTGACCTCACAGCCACACCACTATGATACAGGAAGGGAAATTCTCATTTTCTCTGATGCATATGCACCAGAGAAAGCATGAGTTTCTAAAGGGGCTTCTGCACAACAGTACCATCACTGAATTGAAATGGGGCAACACACCATTCTAAAATTAAGAAACATGCTTGAACACCTTCTGAAGCAAAGAGAAATTACAGAAGTACACTGAAAGTTTAGTCTTTGAATCTAGCTACTGTCACAAAAAACATAATTCTGGAGGAATTATAGACTGTAGAAAGGTAGTATTTTTTCAAAGGTAATTGCTCTGGACCTGTTAATTACATCTCACAGGATCCAACACAACACAGCTGGTGAAGCAGTTAGTACAAATGAGTTTGGGTTTTTCTGAAAGACCTATTTAAAAGTAAGTAAATAAATAAATGGGCAATTCTTATGCAGTGACTGACTTTTTTCGTTAAAAAGTTTTACATTCAGCCTTCATAAACTTCAGGACATTTTTCCTACCCACATCAGTGTTGACTCTATACATTTTGAATTTTAATTCTACATGGCTGCATGAAGGGGAAAAAAAAGGTCTGAGTCACACTCTACACCTAAATACCTTTCTTCTTTTTCTTTGTTTTCTTACTACTACGGCCTTTCTGTTGTTCCTCCATTATTCTCTCTTCTGCCATTTGAGAGCTGTCAGCGCGGCTCAGTGTTGACATCAACCAGGCATAGAGGAACTCTGATAGATACCTACAGTAAAAACAGTATGTAGCTGTTACATACTACAGTGCAAAACGTATTCATAATGCACACATCCTCACTGAACACCAAGTCATTTACTCAAAGAACTAATAGTAAAGGACAACTTTTAGGGCAGTCAAAACTCTTTGTTTTGCATGGCTGAAATCAACAAATTAGTCTGTGTTCCGTTTTGGATTTTTTTTAAACAAGACTGTACAGATTAAACCATAGCTCAAGGTATGCAAGTTTCTTATACGTTTACTAAGTGAAGTCTAAGCTTCTTATTATTTCAAAACAAATAAAAGATCAATTTTTTTGACAATTCTTCCTTCCCCTAGCAAATGAAGCATTTTTTAAAAAGATACTATATTAATAACTTTTCTACTTTTGTTAGCAGTTACTGTTTTGAGAAACAAGGTTACTGCTGATTTGTTTCAAGCATTAAAAAGCCACGAATTAAATGAAAGGGCCAAGCCCACAGGAACAAGAGATCCACATGCAATTCTTTAAAAGAAATCTTTAAGAATTCTTTAAGAGCTATTTCTTAGTAAGCGGAAGCGGGTCCAATTTGACTGACTTCAAATCAAAAGGAATAGGGAAAAAAGAGACTAGAAATTACAGATCTGAGGCACATGAAGAAGAAATAATGCTTCATAAGAAATCATAATTCAGAAGAAAAGTTACTGAGAAATAATTGAGTTTCACTTGCACATTTCCCCTCAGAAATTTCCTCTTTTTGTTCTTCACTTAGAGTAAGGAGATAAAGCAGTTGACATGACAGTTCCAATTAAGAGTGATTTTATTAAAATGTTGGAGGGAAATACGGGCAGGTAAAAAATACTGTCTTACAGAAAACTTGGTATTACTTAGTGAGGTATTACTTAAAGAATATTGCCATCTTCTGGTAACTATCTGGAGTATTAATTTTCTCACTTAATGCTTAATCCGCGGATGAAACAGCATAGAAACATAATGAGATGCACTGAAGTTCAAGTCATTTAATCTCTCAGAAAGAAAACTTACAGCTTACCTAGTAAGAGTTTATTGTAGCTTAACAGGAAAAAAAAAACCCAACAAAACCAAAACAAAAACCAAACCACCAAAGTACAGAAGCACTTTAACATAGGAAGGTTCAACATCAAATTTTTAATGCTGAATGAAAAATAAACCATCTAAAATCATTTATCTTTCGGACCAAGCCATCAACTACGAAAAATAATTTAATGGGGATGGAAGTGGAAAAATAAAAAGTATTTTGACTCCATATAGTGCAATCATTTTCACTAAAGGCAGATGTCTCTTCAAATACGCTTACAGAACAAGATGTTATTTTTACCTAGTCAACTTTCAGATTACAGTCGCAACTTAAAACTCTGGAGATCTTTTTAAAAATACTAGAGATCAACAAGACTATTGATCTTGGTACTACAAGGACAGAAAAGAATAAAGGAAATTGCTTTCCTCCTGCACTCTCTTGTCTGCCAAAATTGGCATATTTTTCATTCATTGTCATTCGAAGGCACTATTTTAAAAAGCTAAATAGAGAACGAATTATTATTTTTTAAAAAAAGTACACTATTTAATAAATCTAGAAAAGAGACCAACAGATTTTTTTTCTCCACTTGTAATTTTATGAATAGGTGAACTAAATACTGTGTTGAGCAAGCCTGAGATTAAAAAATCGTAGCTTAAGTCCCTCCTTTAAAAATATACAATTATAGCTCTGTGGGAGCACCCCTCCTCCAACAGCTGTCAATAAAGCATCCTCTTACCAATATATGTAGTAATATTCATGCATACTGTAAAGTTCCAACTCGAAGCCACTCAGAAGATACTGTATCATAATACGAAGGTTATGATATAGGACCCAGGTGCCCAAGCAAGCCAAATGTTGCCTTTGTGGTTCCTGCTTCAGTAACATACTATGAAGTGCTGCATCTACTTTCTCCGCCTATTGAAAAAGAGAGCAAAGTAACAGACAGGGAGGAAGAACATTTGACTGAAACAGCATCCAAGTTCTGTCAGAAATAAAATCTTAACAAAATCTGAATACAAATTAAGTCACTAAAGCCATGCTCCAGATTAAAAGATAGAAATATGTTTTTACAGATACTGCCACCTCTATAGTCTAGAACTGTCAGAAAACTGGAAAGTTATTCATGCAAGTAAATTCTGCTGCAGAGAGGAAAAAAAAAATTCTATATAGTGATACAGCACTAACATTAGGTTTTTTAAAATTTAAAATTTTAAAAAGTATTTATATATAGATTATTAGCAGTCACGTTAGCACCGAAACTCAGAACCCATTACAAGTTGTTATTCATTTTGGTATACTGGCAATAATTACTTTTCTTTTTTTTTTTTTTTTTTTTTTTTAAAAAAAAACCCATTCTCATTGAAAAATTAAATTTATAAGCTTAACATGCCAGAAACACACTGTGGCCCACCAGAGAAACTAAAATATTGCTAAGACCAATTCAGTCTTAAAAAGTAATTGCATGGAAGACATGAAGTCTCCCACAGTTGGAATATTATCACTAGTCCTGAACAAATCGATCCATATAACCTGTTACTGCGTCTCGGCTGCAGTACTGCAACAAATTCTCAACCAAACCATCTTGAGAGAAGCTGGAGCACCCAAAATCTCCCCCACAAGCCCAAGTTCCTCAACTGTTCTCTTTAGCATGCACATCTTGGACAATATTTTATTATTTCATGCCTCTCACTGCTGAAGAAATACATTTTGGGAGACAGTCCTGAAGGGCAAAGGGGTCCAGGAAGGCTGAACGTTCTTCAAGAAGGAAGTCTTAAAGGCGCAGGAGCGGGCCACACACAAACTTTATTTAGATGGGAGTGAAAGGAGATGAAGGATAGCACCTGTGATCTGAAAGGTGACTGGAGTGTTAATTATAGAGAGAGACCTGAAGAACTACATTTTAAATGCTGCAGCATATTAATACCACTACATTTTGATAGCTTGAGCTGAACCACACTGTAACTTCAACAGTGTTGAGACAACAAAAAATGTTTTTACAAGTATATTAATGACAAGTATATTTGTTTTTCAAAGTATATTAATGACAAAAGGAGA